CCGCCATGCCAACAATGCCCTTCTTTACGGATGAGCTGGGGCGATCACGATTCCCGAAATTTTGTTGACCATCTCGACCGCCTTCCCTCGATCGGCTTCGAGCGTCGGTCGTAGGCGAGGTACCCAGGGCGGGACGGCGTATTCCTGGATTGTCTCCATCCGGTCAACTCGTACTCCTTCGGCCACGCGGGCAATTTTCTGCAGCGGAGATACGAATCGTACGGTGGTCCGGACTTTCTTCATGGCAAGGGGATGCGTTCCGGGCAGCGTGTGGATGTTGATCCACAGACTGGCTGCCGCCTGGGCGTGTCGTTCTCGTACGGGGTAGATGCTCGCTTCAGCTTCCACCACGGCTGTTGCCGCGGTTCGAAAGGCTCCCGTGATGGCCAGGGCCCCGATCTTCTGCGCCCTGTTCAGCCAGCTCAGTGCCTTTTCCCCGCACGCATGCATCCAGACATTGGCAGCGTAGTCCATGACCGGGGCTACTGTCGCAACAAATAGCTGCCTCGCTGTCCGCGGGGAAAGCATCTTCAGTCTCTTCAGGGCCAGAGCGGCTGCGAGGCCCTTAGCTGCCGTCCTAGCAATGTGCTGCTTGTAGCGGAGTTCGCGATCCATCACGACACCTAGGATTTTCGCACTTTCCTTCGGTTTGACCACTTCGCCTTTGACCGAGAACGGTTGTTCTGAAAATCGCTCCATGTTCCTCGTGAAGTGTATGATGGCTGTCTTTTCGCCTTCAAACTGCGCACCGCTCCGTTTCTCCCAGTCAAGGGCTTTGTCGATGATAGCTTGGATTCCAGTGCGGTTCGACTCCGCTGACGGGCCCGTTACCCAGGCAGTGTAGTCGTCCACGAAGGCAATTGCGCCTCCGTTCGCGTCGATCTTGTGCTGCACTAGGTCGGCGTTGAAGAAGAGGAACAACACTGGAGACAGCGGCGATCCTTGCGGAAGACCCGCTTGGGGCAGCTCTTGCCGTCCAGATGTGAACCCGTTTACGGCAATGGTCGCTGTGCGCTTGGAGCAGAAGGCGTCGATCCACTTGACCAGGTGTTCAGGTATCCCTCTTGCCTTGAGCCTCTGGAGAAGCCTGTCTTTGAAGACCCCATTGTATGCGCCCTTGACATCGAAGCTGACCAGACTGAGCACTTTCCTAGCTCTCCATGCTTTGTAGATGTGTTCCTGAAGCAGAAGGAGAGCCTGTTCGGTCGAGCGTCTCTTCCTGGCTCCGAAGTGGTTGGCGGGTAGAAGGCCGCAGGTCTCCACAGCATGGGATAAACGCTCCGCAATGACTGCCTCTAGTATCTTGCCTAGCGTGGAGAGCAGCGAGATGGGTCTCCAGGACTTGGCTAGAGTGTAATCGCTCTTCCCTGGCTTCTTCAATGGGATGATCTTGGCATTCTTCCACTGGCTGGGGATGTCGCCGTCTCGAAGCGACGTCCGGAATAAATGGAGCACCCTGTCTTTGACCACTGGCCAGAGCTGTCTCCATACCATTGCCGGTAGACCGTCTTCCCCGGGCGCCTTCCATGGCTTAGCGGACAGGACCTTTTGTTCTATCTCCTCCATTGTTAGGTCTGGCATGTGTACCGGCGCCCGTTGAGGTCGTTGGCCCTCGTCTTCGATTCTCGCTGGCAAAGGTGGGAAGAAGGCGGTGAGTAACTCCTGCGCTTGTTCTGCTTTACCCTCCGTGATGGAGCCATCGGGTCGGACGAGCGGGGGTATCTTATCGCCCATCGTGCCGCTGCCGGTTTGCAGGTACTTCGTTGCTTGCCAGATGTTAGCGTCATCGGCCAGGAAGTCGTTCCAATGCGAACTCTTCTGTCTGCGGATGGCGTCGTGGTACTCTTTGGCTGCCATCCTGGCTCGTTGTTCGAGCTCTGGTGCTGTTTGCCCAATCCTACGTCGAGATCTCGCCTGGTTTCTCCAAAACGTGTATGTCTGGCGAAGCCGTGTCAGGTCCGTTGTCCACCACCGCTTGGCGTATGGTGAGGGTTTGGCTTTAGGTGTCAGGCCGTAGACCGCCTCGGTTACCGCTGCCATGAGCCTGTCCGTCTGCTGCTGGACATTGCCGTCCCAGGGGATGCGTTCGAGGTTTGCTGCCACCCTAGTCCTAATTTCCGCCCAGGGCGCGTTCTTGAAGAGGAACCTCGTCTCACTGGGACGGTCCTCCACCGAGGTGTCAAAAGCTGTCTCGATTGCTCTGTGGTCTGAGCCATGGGTCGCAGGGGTGAATCGCGCATCTGAGTAGTTGGTCTGCTAGTTCTGCAGAGGCCAGTACCAGGTCGATTGTGCTCTCAATGTCGCCTGACTGCCACGTCTTCGTGCCTCTTGGGAGGAGGCTGCAGAGGGAGTGTTCGTCCATGAGGTTGATGATGCGGTTTCCCTCGCCTTGTCTCCGTGGTGAGACATCGTCCCCTCCCCCAAAGCTGGTCGTGGCGGTTGAAATCGCCCGCCAGTATGATGGTCCGTTCTCGTCCCTGGTTCCGTTTCGAAACCTCTTAATCATTAGGTCAATCTCCCCTCATTGCATCTTCCAGTGCTTCGTCACTACCACCCCTCCACATACACTGACACCAACAGCACTGCCCGGTCTGGGAGCCGGATGCGTGCTGCGGTGAGGTCTGCCGACGGCACTGGAATCTGCTCGACCTCTATATCGCTTCGTACCCATAGCATGCTCCGAATTGGCCACGTGGCTTCTCGTCTTGTCGTTGGTATCAGCTTCGTCCAGTTGTGATGACTCATTGGGACCGTCGTCACCGAGCCTTCGATCAGCCTGGCATATGGTTCGGAGATGGCTAGCACTGCGAAGTCCTTGAGTCCCTCGTCGTTTAGCAGACTCTGCTGCACTTCTCTCCGTTTGCGGACGTTGAGCTGATGGATCTTAAGCGTCTTGGGCCCCATTGTTCAACCAGCGTACCCGACCAGTTCTTGCTAAAATGACTTGTGTGGCCCTCTGCATAGCACGCACTTCAGGACCACGGACTGACCTCTTGTGGTGGTGACCCTGTTCCGCACACCTTCCGCATCTTTGCGGCTTTTTGCAGGCGAAGGCCTTATGGCCGATTTCCTGGCATCTGTAGCACTGGGTTGGGCCTTCCCGGGGCGCGAACACGGTCGTGTAAGCGGATTCTCCGGCCAGATGGAAGTAACGCCCGTCTAGAAGTCGCCTCGCTTCGCTGCCCTCCGTCACGTAGACGACCATAGAGCCGTAGGCCTTGCCTGTATCCTTCCTGCTGAGCCAGACGATCTTGGCAATGTTGACGTCGTTCTCTGTACCAAGGGCTTCCATTGCCCCTGGTAAAACGTTCCCCTCGGCGTCGAGGACCGCTGTGCGGTTGGCATTGTCGATCCTCACTGGGTAGAGCTGATCCCTCAGCACCCGTACGCCCGGGACAGTGATCTTTTGTGCTGCATTCTTGACAATTCTGGTCTCGTTTTCGTCTCTACAAACCACCTTGACCCGATCCGGGTTCCGGGTCTCCTTTACAACCGCAGCGCAGCGCCAATCTCCCATGTTCTCCAGTGTCCGGACCTCCGCCTCGATTGCTTTTCTGACATCCGCCACCTGGACTTTGTTCTTTTCGTTTTCCTCCACTCTGGATGTGTCGATGGTGCAGGACAGCGTGTCGGTAAAGGATGAGGGTGTCGTGTTCGACGAGGAGAGGGTGCGCACCCCGCTTGGTTGGCTTGATGGTGGGGTGCGAGCGACTTCGGCGTACGATGCTCTTGCGCTTGGCTGGGACGAGGCCGTGAATACCGGGTTGCGTATAAGGACGTCGATCTGGTCTCGAGCTTGCCTCAGCTCCTCTGATAGCTGTGCCTTTGTGTTCGCTAGGGCGCATTCCATTTGACGTTGGTATTCCTGGAGCTGATGGTGCAATTCTTGAATCGTGTTCTGCTGCTTGCTGACCACGTCGCGTAGTTCAATGATTGTGTCGAGCATCTCGTTTCGCTGTGCATTGAGCACCTCTAGGAGTGTTTGTAGCGCTGTCTTCCCGGTCCCAACTTCGCTGTTGGTCGCATTCCCGCCTCCTAGCGCGCGTGTTCCTCTCGAAGCGGCGGTCCGCATAGCATCGCTCGTAGTCCTTCTCGACGCGGTGGTTGCGTCTTCGATCGATTGCATTGCTTCGCGAACTTTCGCACTCGGTTTCGGGGCGCGGCTCGGTCGCTTCAGCGGGGATGGTTGGTCCGCCACCTCGACCACGATCTGGTCCTGCGCCGACCCCGCCATTTCGCCGTCCTTCGGCAGTGCCGCTCGACTTTTTCAAAAGTTTAACTTACCGTGAAATTCGCGACAACGCAGAGCCTCCTTCGTTTCCGGCAGTCGGTGGTAATTCGCGTTCAGCGTCCGCTGTCGCTCGCTTATATGCGTCGCTCGCTTATAATATACGTTAACTAGTTAACTATTTTTATTTATCGCCCACCCTGATGGAAGCGGAACCGGAGACCCTCACCCATCCTTACGAGCATCTGGGCGGCCTTGGGCAAGTTACCTAGTACTATCTAGAAGACCCTCTCTCCCAGCCACCCCTCCCCTTGCAGCGCGGCAGTTGTGTTGAATAACGTGGTTATGCATAGTTTGTGTAAGGTTGCTTGCATTGATCAGAGCTTCCAGATGGTGGGAGGCTCTGTTTCTATATACAGAGAGAGAGATGGGGCTGCAGGGCTCCCTGTTATCCACCAGGCTCCCTGACTGCCACCATCATGACTTGTGACCTCTGTATCCATTTCAGCAAGTTGGGTACAAGCTAGATAAAATTGTAAACCCGATGGGCTCATTCTGGCCTGTCTGTCGTTCTAGACTTAACAAAGGAGAAGTAACGGAAGTAACGGGCCAAATTCTGTGTCATTTTTATGAAGACGCGGAAAGAAATAGGGATACCAAAACCAGATTGTAGTCAGCTGCATCATGGACGGGACCAGGACACCAGGTTGGTACTTGATAATATTGAGAAGAAGATGAACAAATGGGGAACAGGGCACACCGCTCTACAGAGCTGGCTGTCCGGCTAGTAGTAGCCCAGGTCCAGGAGGCGTGGAGACAGAAGGGTGCGGCATCCCTATTGCAACTGGACATCTCAGGAGCCTTTGACACGGTCAACCATACCCGACTGCTAGCAACTTTGCGAGAAATGGGCTTCCCGAGGTGGCTGGTCCTCTGGACGAGAGATTGGTTGACCGGTCGAGAGGCCACCCTTCTTTTCGACGGCAAGACGGCGGCGCCGACGGCAATTCGGGCAGAGGGTCCCCCAAGGCTCACCCCTTTCCCCTGTTCTCTTCATCCTCTACATTTCCTCATTATACAGAGCAGCTAAAAGACGAGCACCCTCACTTGAGCTATAACAGGGTTTGCGAGATGACACCAACCTTCTAGTATTTGAGTCGAAACCCCGAAGCCCATGTCCGGCAACTAGAGGCGGCGTGGGAAACGTGTATACGATGGGCGGACAGTCGGGGGATGAAGTTCGCCCCGGAAAAGAGCGAACTGATCCATTTCAACAAAGGGCGACGGCAGTGGACCGAACAAGTAAACCTTGCCAACCCAGGGGGAGGCACCAGCCCCGTTAAACCAGAAGGGTCTGCCAGGTTCCTGGGAGTCTGGTTGGACTGGAAACTCAACTGGAAGGCCCACCTGGTGGCGGTGGAGAAGAAGCTGAGGACCCAGAGCTATGCCCTGTCGAGGATCGTGGCAAAGACATGGGGGATGGGGCTAGCCAAAGCGCGAGAAGTGTACACAAAGTGCATCCGGTCGGCGCTGGCCTATGGCGCATCATCGTTTCACATCCCCACGGATGTGGGAGGCGAGCCGGCAAAGAAAGGCATCACTAAGGCCCTCGGGAAGGCCCAGAACAAGAGCTTGCGGATTGTGGCGGGAGCCTTTAAGTCTACCCCCATCCGTAACCTCGAGACAGAGACATGGGTACCACCATTGGACTTGTACCTAAACAAACGGCTG